CACACCATACTTCAGAAATCATTCTAATATGCTAAGTTGGTGCTCAAGAATTAGTAGTACTCAATTATTATTAATAACAACGATTCATAAATGAGTAATAATAATCGCTATTAATTATTTTTATGTAAATACATTTTAATATTTTTTTTTCTTTGATGAATAAAAAGTTTAAAAGAACAGCCTTATTTGAAACCTTTTATTTATTTGAATTGTTTTCTAACATTATAAATGTCTTTACAGCCAATCTTTCTTAATACATTTTTTTTTTTTTACATTTTACTTACCCCAAACTTATCATGGACTCCACAAAAAATATGAAGCATTTTCAATATTGAAATTGTCAACACTGATTATAATAAGAAATATTTATTGAGCAGCAAATCAGCATATTAGAATTATTTCTGAAGGATCATATGACAGTGAAGACTGGAGTAATGATGCTGAAAATTCAGCTTTGAATCACAGGAGTAAATTACATTTTACTATATATTACAATAGAAAACAGTTATTTTAATTTGCAAAAATATTTAATAAAATTTTTTTTAACTGGAGAGCAGAAGAGACTTCTTTCAATAACATTATAAAAAAAATAAATAAAAAAAAAATCAATTATTCCCAACTTTTTACTTGTAGTCTTAATTGATGATACATCTAATTGATGATAATCTGTGGAGTAAAAAAGTAAATAGTTTGGTTATTGTTCACAGTTCACACGAAGACTAAGGGGAAACATCACTAAATGTACATATTTTCACAGTTTCGTCAGAGGGAGACAAAAAGTGTTGAATTTTACATTTATATCCAAAGCAACTTATACTGCATTCAAAGTATACAGTTTGATCAATACATGCTTTCCCTGTGAATTGAACCTGTGACCTTGGCATCGCTATAGTGCTATGCTCCACTTTTTGAGCTACAGGAACTGTCTCTATAATGTGGATTAATGTGACCAAGTAATTTTATTCCGTCCTCTCTGAATCACTAATCTAAGTTACTCTAACAGTCTCAGGCTTCAGCAGATCTGAACTCTGTGTGACAGAGTTGCCTCAGCTGCGTTTCAATTCAAGACATTTAATGGTCTCCTGGATGTCATACGAACTGAGCGACTTTGACATTTATTTGGGACTAACACACAAAGGAAAACACTTGGAATTATGGGACATGAGCTGGAGTCATGCTTTTAGGAAAGTCAAAAACATGGCCTGAAACCATAATGAGGATATCCCAAGCTTTACATACACTACATCCATGACTCAAAAAGACAATTTAATGGTATAGTTCACCCAAAAATGAAATTCTCTTATTTACTCACCCTCAAGTTCCAAACCTGCATCTGGTACCAAACAGGTAGCCATTGACTTCCATAGTATTTTTTTCCCCATACTGTGGATGTCGATGGCTACCGTCAAGTGTTTGGTTCCCAAAATTCTTCAAAATATCTTCTTTTGTGCTAAAAAAAAAACAAAACATACAGGTTTGGAAGAAGAAGAGAGTGAGTAAATGACAGAATTTTCATTTTCGGGTGAACTGTCCCTTTAAGAAGAGCATAAGTGGTTATTAAATGCAGACGCATCTGCCCAGTTTAATATTAAACCAGGATGTCCCAAATCTCCGCAGTGAGCTGTGCCAAAGCTGAACAGTCGTCAGTGGCGATTCTAGGCCAAAACCAGAGATGAGCCAAACAGACCGTCTCAAAAGCAAGGCTTTTTCCCTTTTTGCATGATGTTTCTCTCTCACCCATATCATCATTGTTCATGGCCTTGCAGTAATATTCATGCACGTCAACATGCATCAAACTTCTCGTCTACTCTACACAGATGTCTCTCATTGCGATGACACCTTGAAACACTGTCAATAATCAACAGCTGACGACCCTCCGTGCCAAGCACTGATCTCCAAACAGTGGATCCAAATCCCAAACAAAGCCCCTGGTTTTGTGACAGATCTGGAGACAGACTTCAATTCCCCCGTCTCACGTTGTCGTTCCCTCCGTCAAGTGCAGTTGTCAACACAGGAACACATGTTCTATGTTAGGCCGCTGTTTAACAGCGAGAGCACGGTTTGGTAAAGAGCCGAGGCCTCCGGTGACTGTTGAGGCCATCCAGGACAAAGGCACAGAGGTGGGAATCAGAAGCAGACCTTGTAAGCGCTTTTGGGAAAGTCAAGCCCTGTAATCTCATTGCCTGATTTCATAGAGTTTAACCAGTCGTTCCACTGAAAAGAGGCTGCTGTGTTAATCCTGGACTGGGGCGCCAGATTTTTAGATCTGCGATGGGAAACAAAAAAAAGCACACATTTAGAAACAAGTGTCTGCATCAATAAGTTTTGCTCAGTTTCAAGTTTACTCTTGGTATGAACATCTCCCTTATTTCATCTGATTACTATGGAAGCTTACTTCCATACAATACAAAATAATAATAATAATAATTTAAAGGTATAAATGCAACTTTTTATTTTTGCCAGTTTATAGCTCACAATTCTGATTTTATATCTTGCAGTTCTGAGTTTCTGTCTCACAAAACAATCTGCAATTCCCGTTTTTATTTTTATATTCCTTGGCAGAAACAATTTGGACTTTTTTCTTGCAATTGCAATTTTTTGTCTTGTAATACTGAATTATATCTCACAATTCTGAGTTTATATCTCCCAATTTTCTCAGAATTTAGAGAAAAAAGTCGGAAATTGTGATACAACAATTCTCACTTTATATTTTGTAATTCTTAGTTTATATCTCACAATTCTGAGTTTATATCTCGCAATTTTCGGAGAATTGCAAGAAAAAAGGGCTGAAATGTGAGATATAAACTCAGAATTATGAGGAGAAAAAAAACTCCAAATTGTGAGATAAAAAGTCGCAATTGCATTTTTATTATTCCATGGATGAAATAAGCTTCCATAGTTTATAACTGGACAGCACTAAACACAAATGTAAAAGGGCTCCAAAATGTTTTGAGCAATGATTCAATAAAACCAAATTCAGGTTTTATAATTTGCAAGATATGCACACTACAAAAAAAAAAGTTAATATATGAATGAATGAAAAATAAAAAATAAAAAAGCATTTAGGTGTATTTTTTTGTTGTTGTTGTTTTCCAGTTAAAATACCTAAAAATATTTATAACAAGATGAGCAACACCATAAAATATAAAAATTTGTTTTCATAGACTGTAAAAGTATTTTGTCTTTTTATCCCACTTTTTTTTCTTTTTTTTTTAAACTTTTTTCTTAAAGCCAGAACAGCAAGATAAAATACACTCATAAGATATAGTCTATGAAAACAAGTCTTAATATTTTATTCAGTGTTGCTGCACAAGAAAAACTGTTGTTTCAAGGATTTCTACATATACTGTATATAAAAATAAAAAAATAAAAATCCTATTAATTAAAACCATACTAAGCAGTCGTTAATGCAGGTACTCGATTTAAATGAGCGTTGCTTGAAACATGTTTGAAGTGGGATAAAAAATACATCTGGGAGCAATGCTGTGTCTGTGGACATTTGTGTGCTTTATCAACATGCACAGTGACTAATGTATAGTTATGAAATCGGTGTCCCTCAAAATCACAGGAGACGCTTCAACAGATGTTAAAACCAGAAATAAAAAGGGCCTATGTGATATTAACCAGTACAGCATTTCTGATATGTAGAATAATTTTCCATAACAAGCTTCCTTAGAGATCTTTTCCTTCACTAAAACCCAGACTGCTTGGTAAATCCTCCTACGACTTTCCAAGGCCACAGCCGAAGAGACGACGGACCCATCAGTCTGTGCACAAAAAATGCCTGAATATAAATGAAAAAAAACAAAAACATATTAAACTGTCTTAATGAGAAAAGCTAAATGAAGGAAACGGCTCTTTAGAATAACACACTTTGAACACTTCCTACGGCGGCGTCCACCATTAGTGTTCAGGAGTGGAGGACTGACAGCTCATTTCTCTGGAAGCTATGCTTTAACAATGTCAGTGATTAATACAGAAAGCCCATTCTCTGAAATGGCTCTTTGAATCTCAATTTCCTCTATAATATAACTTACTGCCAAGGATCATTATGAGTCATTTCGGAGCCACTAGAACCCGTTTGAAGTAAACATCATTAGGAAAACGTCTCCACAAGTCTGATTACAGTACATCCTTCGATTAAAAGAGGGAGCTAGAACTTGGAGATTTAGTTACGGACGTAAGTATGCAAATATACTGATGCGATAAAATAATGTAAAATAAAGACATGACATAATGGGATGGTGAATTAGATGGTTGTTGAAATAAAAAGGTCTGTTTTTTTCCCTAGAGGATGAAGAAAACCCTGAATCTTTCTGCTTTTAGTTAATGGAAACCCATGATACAACACTGTAAAAAAAAATAATAATAATTTACGGTAAAAAACCGGCAGCAGTGGTTGCCGGAACTTTACCGTAAAAAATACGGTAGCAACGTTTTAGGTTTTACCGTTTTAACTTAAATTTACAGTTAAATACCGTAATTTCATTAACTGATATAATGTTAATATACCAACCTTATTGAAGTACTGAAATCTGTTTTGTACCTTTGTAATACACTGATAACCACCAAATGCAGGTTTAAAAAAAAAAAAAATCATAGTTAGAAGAAGAAACAGTTATTTCAACAAAAAAAACATCAAATTTGAAATGTAACGCAGGGAATTCTGGGAATGTCAATTTACGGTTATTCACTGTAAATTATACGGTCTTTTTTACTTCCAAAAACGGTATACTACCGTAAAATTAATGTCCAATACATGTACTGTCCAATACACTTTTTCACCGTATATAGTAGGGGAATTTACCGTTAACCATTTAACAGGTTTTTACTGTAGCATTTTTATAGTCTTTTAGCATTAAATTCACGGTCATTTTTTACAGTGTGAGTCAACAGCAGCAAACTCGTTGTACCGCGGGAACCCACTTACAACAAACAAAGTGCTTAAACTTAAAAAAAAAAAAAAAGAAGATGTAGCTTTCACCTTTATCATTTCGTCATCTTATTTTTTATTTTTTTGCACTGGATGTGGAGGGGGAAGGAAGTGTCTTAACCAGTCTGTATCCTCCTCGAGCCCATGGATACTAGAAGGGATGTGATGTTAATCCAGCTTTATCCTCAGAGCTGGAGGGGGTGAAGCCGGCCAAAGTCCAAACTCCACAAATTGAGACAACCAGATGACATCTCTGATCCGTCCACGGGACGCCGCGACCGAAGCGGCTGTGTGAACCTGCAAGCAAACAGAAGTTTGTTTCAGTGTCCAGACTTTCTTACAACTAATGACACATTTTCACTGGTCTGAGTGGTTGGAAGGTTAAAATAGACTATAGGAATGATTTGTGAACAAAACCTCCTTTTTGAACTGAACGATTAAGTTGAACTGATTCGCAAAGTTTTCATAAGACACTCGACTGTAAGGGGAAACTATTTGGAAGTGACCCAGCTGACAATCTCCATTCCTAAGAAAAGATAATGAAGGTCTCATTAAGAGTGACACCATGAAAGCGAGAAAACTTACATCAATTAAATATAACCAAAAGCACTAATTCATGAAACAATCAAGAACACTGCAGTATTTATAGCATAGTATTTAACTACATGAAAATTAATCAAATAAAAATAAATAAATATATACACAATCAATCAATCAAACATATTAAATGCCACACAATATCTAGGAACATTTTTTTTTTTCTTTTTTCTTTTTTTTGAATTGGCACTTTTTATCATTGGACACTCCAAAAAAAACAAAACATAAAACTAAATTAAATTAAAATAAATAAATAAATAAATATAAACTTTAAATTTTTTTTTTGGATTGATGTGTTTGAATTGCATAAAGAAAATTCTGATTTATCTGGATTACAAACTAATTAACAATGTAATGCAAATTTGTCAGTCATGAATAAATTAAACAGGTCAGATTTCTGTAATGGTACTAATGACAATGTTTTAAATACACAACCGGGTTTACATATTATCATCAACAAATCCAATTTGTTTCAACATTTAAACTAATTGAATATCGCTTGTTCTGACAGTTAGCCATATTTTAACGTTCATACTTTTTAAGCGGAATAACTTAATTGTTTTTTACAATGAACAAATTTATGCAGATTCTAACCATTTGAATAAATTAATTTTGAAAATAGGATTATTTAGATAAAATCAAACAGTTGCAAACAGGTAATAAACTATGGCATGACTTTTTGAGTGCAGAAATTTGAACTATTTCTTACCTGCTTTATTCATGTACGACAGACAAACATGCATCACATTTTTATATAATGCATCACACGTTTATTTGGTTGTTTATGTTAAAACCGTGTCCAAATGGATGGGAATTTTATATGCAATGCAAATAAATGCATCTTAAATTTTTGAGTGCAATAAATTAATTGAATTATCATCTCAGTCTACATTCTTATGTGTACATAACTCAATGACTTCAAACCGAAACATCACAGCATTGTAAAAATCCAGCAGACACTGACTGAACTGAAGTCCGTGGGACATCTTCATGAGCGTCTGGAGGATGCTGTCCACACGTGGGCTTTGAGCGCCTGTTTTTCTCTATGTGCTGCATCCTGTGCCTCTGTGTGTTGCACTACACACTCCCAATGCGCTGGTTTCCAAGCAACCCATGTAACACAGGGAGCGTCGGCTGTTGGCGTCTCTGAACTGCGTGGAAACTGTAGGATGAAGAGAAGAAGGAGATGATTAAGCGGAGTGTGAAAACTCAAACATGCAGCTGGCCGATGCAGTGCATCGCTTACTTTCCATTGCACAGAGCACTGGACTTTGTTAAAAACAAGCTAAGCAGTGCACATGGTGTGTTTTCATTCAACTTATTTTCCCAAGCCATCTCTTTAGACACAAGCAGACTGGAGCTGACAAGCCAGCGCCGTGTCAATCACACCAGAGGATGTTCTCTTGGCTTGTTTTCTTCCTGCTCTGATCCTCGGGGAGTTTGCACTAACCAGCATGGCCCTGGGCTTTCTTTCAGGGGCTGAGGGCATGGAGTGCTGGTGCTTGTTTTGCAACAGAGACCATACAAAACCATACAGAGCTGGACCGAACTACCAAGTCAACACTGAAGAGTGCTTCTGTTTGGAGTGCGGCTCCAAATCGGGGATTCTGCGGCTCAATCCAATTAACTGCAGCGTGGCGAGCACTAATTTAAAAACAAACACATTCAAAACAAGAGCAAACAAATACTAAACTGAGGGGAAAGGTAAAGAAAGACAAACCTGTTAATGTGCAGAAACATTTCTTTAAAGCAATATTCCGTGTTAAGTGCAATAAAGCCCAATGAGCAGCAGCTGTCGATCATGAAAAATGTATTTAAACTCAATTAACAGTTTGTAAAAACAAATTAAAACTGTTTACAGCTATTAGCTTGAATGAATGTTAAATGTGCAACTGCTATACTGTTTAGATATGAAGTCTTTTTAACTCAAATAAAATAAATTGTGTGTTTATGCTTAAAACAAAATAAAGAGAAAACAGAAAAATAATCATGTTTTCCTTTGAGGTAAGTTTATTTTTCTTAGATATTTAAAGCTTATTTTTCTCATATTATTACTTGTTTTAAGCATAAACTAACTTCATTTTTTAATCTATGAAGCAATGTTTACATGAAATAAATTATGCCAATACGACTTAAAAGTTCATCCACCTTAACCCACTAATTAGCACAAATGAATGTGCAACTGCTACACTGTTTTAAAGTCATTGCATGTGTTCATATAAGACATATTATAATTACTTTACTTCAATAACACATAAAAGTTCATCCACCTAAAAAAAAACTAGTGTAAAAGGATGATTCCTGTAACTTGTGTAAATGCTATAATAAAAATAATTATTGATGTTTTTAAATGTTCCAGTGCAATCTGCCTGTAGGCTCTGGTTAAGTTCTGTAAGTGTGTTACTGAATCAACAGCACGTCTCCATTCCATTGACAGAACTGAAGTATTTAACCCAGAATATTGCTTTAAAGCAGAGATCAGCCCCTTAAACAGTCATGTTACAACATTGGCTGCAACGGCAGGCTAAATCTCAGCAGACAGAGCAACACTCGGAGCTAATTAACCCATTAGACTCAAACGTGTTTCCCAACATGCACTTGAGATCAGTTCCTATCAGAGTTTGCCAGCGGATAGGCCCTTTGAAACAGAGCCTCTCAACTCTTCTGAAGAGCATCCCAGATGGTTCCTTTGGTATTTTCTAATAAAAAACAGCGATGTTTCCTCCGCATAAATGTCCGTTTGTAAACCACCAGGTTCCCACTTCTTCCTGGTGGTCATTTAAATGAGAGGGTGACCTAAAAAAGAGCCGGCGTGACTCACAAAGACGTGGGAGAGGAACGGATGACTAAGATGACTGAACAATATCAACCACAGATGAAAGTGTCTCAGCGTTTTATTCATTACCTAAAGCAGACTCCAGCCTGGAACAAACCCCACCAAACACCTCCGGAGTGAAAAGTCACAAACCACGCAACAGATCTGAGCTTTAAGAGCTTTCCTTAATTGCACTAAAATGACAGAATGTGAGAAAAAAGACAACAGAAATACAATAAAAGTAAGGCTGGGTTCAGCCAAAAATCTTACACTCACCCTCATGTTGGTCCAAAGCATTTTGAAGGATGTTCATGCTGTTCTTTTCCATGCAATAAAAACCTGGACTGATCAATGGCTGACAAGCTGCTAAAGTGACAAAAAAGGTCATATAAAAAGTTCTGAATATGCGGTAGCACATAAAATTTGAAAGTCACAGTGGACTGGAAGAGATTCAGTGAATAAAAACGTACATTTCAGTCTTCTTCCGCACATAAAACTATATATGATGACTTTAGAAGACTTGGAACATGGCACATACATTGTAAAAATGATTTTTCTAAGGTTATTGGATTACATTTGACAAGAAAACACAATTTCAGTCTTTCCTGTTACGGTTAATTCAATGTATTGCCCTTTTTTGTGAAATTCACAAGTGAAAATTACACTTTTTGTGTTGTCATATGGATATGTCATTTTGTTGCTTATTAGACCATAGTCATTCTGCACAAAAATGAATAAATAAATAAAAATAAAAAACATTAATATTACTCATGTTTTCTTCGTATCTTTTCCCCTTACTTTCCAGAACATATACATACAAATGTAAATATAAATATATATTTAAATATCTTAAATCACAATACATTTACTTGAGAAGCAAAATGACTTATTATTTTCTGCAAAAGCAATCAAAATGGTGTATTTTTTGCTTAAAACAAGAAAAGCTGCAAATGGGATAATAAAGATAATCTTGTTTTCACTTTGAATTAAGTTTATTTTTCTTGATATTTTTCTTTTTTAAAAGCATCAACTCACTTAACTTTCTTGTTTTAAAGCATAAAGTCACTTAACTTTGATACAGTTTTCATAAAACAAGATTACTTCATATCTTAAGTCATTTTACTTTCCACATAAGTGTATCTTGATTTAAGAATATGTAGATATTTGTATTGGAAAACAAGACAAAAATACAACACGAGAAAACACAGTTTTGTGTTCCATATAATAAATGAGGATTAGGAATAAAATACAGTTAAGCACACGATGAACACTGGTTTTGGGGTGAACTGCTCCTTCAAGAGGCATGTGTGGCCCTTTTTCTGCAGATGCTCTAAAGATCCTGACAGTAGTTTTGTTTGTAACACTATTCAGGTCAGTCTTGCCACGGGCGCCCCCCTTGGGCCTCACTAAACCGTGCTACATCAGGCAGCTTGGTGCAGGTATTTTTTTTTAGATACCTGCACTGAACATGCCAGTTTCTATAAATGTTTGCAAGAGAAAAAAAACCTGACAGGTAAAAAGGGCTTTTGATGGGATAAGGAGGACAGTGAGAAAGGGAGGCAGGCGTGCGTGTGTATGTGAACTGTGGTGCCAGGCCCCTGGTCACAATCGCACAGATTTGCATTCCACTCTAACAGGATATTGCCCAAAGTCCCCCTGAGGAGCTTAGCCGTCGTGTTGGACCTTAACTCCCAGTGTGCACTGCATCACTCTCACACACACACACACAGACACACACAAATAGACACTTTTTCTCTCTCTCTCCCGCCCTTTTCTTTCTCTCCCAGCTTAATCCCCTCTGTCTCCTTTCTTTCTTTTAGCTCTTTCAGTTTAACTCTCACACTCTTCATCATCTCAGCTGCTCAGCCCTCCACTCGTCTTCTCATGGTCCCCTCAAACATTTAATTAGCTTATTGTCGTACATCACTTCTCTTACGGTTCATTTTAAATCAGACACAAACACAAAAGTTAAATATGAGAACTTTGTATATATGTGTTTTGACATGTACACTCTCAGAGTGTACAGGTGCATCTCAATAAATTAGAATTATTTCAATTTTTCAACTCAAATTGTGAAACTTGTGTATTAAATAAATTCAATGCACACAGACTGAAGTAGTTTAAGTCTTTGGTTCGTTTGTAGATACAGAGTGTACATACAAAGGTTGTCTCTGGTGCCGTACCTTTTTGAAAGGTACTAATACCATTTAGGTACTAATATGTGCCTTCAAGGTACAAATATGCAACTATAGGGGTAAATAAGGTACAAAAGTGTACCGTTTGAAAAGTTACCATTCCAGTGACAACTATGCAATTACAAAAAATATAGTTTGTTTATATTCTTCAAGTAGTCCTGTGTACGTTTATAACCTGCATGTTTATGCATGCTATATATAATGCTACACTTGCTATCAACTAAATTTGCATTTCTTGAAGGAAACCGCAGTGCTTGCAAAGCAGCAAAATAAATATGCTAAGGTAAGGTAATACTAGGCTTTGAGCAAATAATCACAACAAACATGGGATATGAGATATAATGGCATGCACATTTTGTTTTTAATCTATCAAAAATGTATCCAAATACCAGTTTTAAATTCAAAATGTTAAAATATACCATCATCTAGTAAAAGTTCACCTACTGTGTTTGCATGCATATACAAGTCAACACCCGCTTTGAGCGCACCTATAGATTTTGACAGTTTTTGTAGTTTTTCTGATAGTGTAGGAAGTTAAATATGCAATTGCAAAAATATTGTTTATATTCTTTAAGTAGTCTCAGGTAAGTTTATAACCTGTGTTATGAAAAATACCATGCATGCTATAAAATGCTACACTTGCTATCAACTAAATTAGCATTTCCTGAAGGAAACCGCAGTTCTTGCAAGGCAGCAAAATAAATGTGCATGTTAAATCACTTTTGCACAACAAATATGGGATATGGGATATGAAGGCATGCACTTTTTATTTTTAATCAATCAATAACGCCTCCAAATACCTGTATTTAATTCGAAACGTTAAAATATAATTAAGTCAAAGTTCACCTACTGTTTGCGTGCATATGAATGCAACACCTATTGTGAGTGCACATATAGATGTAGGTAAGTTCAGGAAAACAAGATCAATCACAATTCAGTATTAAAATCTGATATGAAAATATTATAATGACGACATCACTGTCAGTTTAACATTCTATCACTGTAAGTCTATGGGACATTTCCAAAGTTACATCTTAATTAAATTTTGAAAACATTTAATTAACTTAAGAAAATTATGTATAAAGTTTACCAAAAACAGATAGCACAGACTGAAATGATATACAACACACAGTTTGAATCTGCAAATCAAGCAGTTCGGGCTCAATTAATTAGTTTTAGAACCTATTTAGCAAACATTTCTAAGGAATATTAGTATAGCCCTAATATTGTTTTATATACTCAATCATTGTCAAGTTTAATTAATATTAAAAGTTTGATCATAGCTTTTAAGCTAATAAAAAAGATTGTTGCATTAATGCAAGCAACCAAGGTGAATATAGTAAAAAAAGAAAAGAAAAAGAAACTAATAGATATTATCTTATTTCCCTAGTTGATTGATTACATTAAAAAAATCGCAAAAAAATTTGTATTACAAGTTTTCTAAAATGTTGTTTAAAAATGCAAATTATGCATTATCTAATTAATAATGCACTAATTAGCAAGTCCAATAAAATAAACACTTGTAAGTGTATTGTTTTATTTCCATGAAAAAACAATGTTTTTGCCTGTAGTGTCTTGCCTTAAGTTTTATCAAACCCACTATGGGCATTAAAAGAGGAAAAACAATACACATGCCATAAAGGCCACATTCAGTCTTCCGTCATGAAGGAAACATGATTCAGAGGTGGCAGTCAATGTTTTTACGAGTTTTAATTCTACATATATACCCCCCCCCCTGCCACAAACCAGCCCCCACGCAGCTAGTTGAGAAACAAAAACTCTCTCTGTCCTATTCTCACACACACACTAACACACAAACTCACTCTGTCTTTGTCTCAAACACATACACACCCACAACCCGGCCTCTCCCAGAGCATCTGGTCTTGGGTAGGGCAGCATATGTTTTAATTTTGATTGACTCACCTGTCACCTATACTGCCCTCCTCATTGTTA